GGTTGTCGAAGATGGCTTTTTGAAGGGTCAATCCGGGACTAAGCTCCCTGACCCTGCAACTCAAAACTCAGATAAAGATGTTACTGATAATGAACAAACCAAAAGAAGCAGAGATCGATTGCTTGTGCCTCAAGAAACCCCCGAAACATCACAAGGGTTCTCAATAAACTCGGTTTCTAATCACGGCAACGTCTGGGGTTATCACAATTCCAACCATCTAGGTAAGTACTGATAATTCCTTGACCCTTTAACTTGGAGAATGTGTGTGATTTTTTACATGTGAAATCCATAAAGAAAATAAAGAGAAAAAAGAAGATAGAGATAAATGCGTATGTATCTGTGGGAATGGATGATTTCAGGGATTGAATTTTCATTGTTGCGTTTCTGCAGGGGAGAGTTATGTTTCGAACTTGAATTTTGGCTCTGGATTTTTTATGGGTTCAGTGAACTTCAATGGTAATCATATTGATTCTGGGAATTTTTTAGAAAATCTTGATGGAAGTTCGAGTGGGCAAAGGGGTCCGGAATTTTTCTGTGGAAGTTTATCAATGTCAAGTCATGTTAACCAGTATAACACGGTACCAATCCAGAATGATGCTGGTAGAAATCAATTTGAAAACCATGGATTATTTTCACCCAATGAATACTTCAGATTGAACAAGAATGGTTTGTGGAGTCAGAATGGACAATATAGTGGCACTGAGAGTGCTTATCCAGGAAGTGATTTCTACTACAATGCTGGTATTCGAATTGGCTCAAATGGCTTGGAAAGGGGAAATATTGATCAAGAGACTCGGTTCATGGTTCTTCCAGACTTTATTTTTTGGCTGATGAGCAATGCGCACGGACATGTTCTCTTTGATGAGTTAATTGAATCGTGCGTAGGTAATGAGTTGTATTTGGTTGTTGAAAAGTTATGGTCGAATATTGAATTGTTCATAGAAACAGCCTTCTGTAGAATTGGGTAAGACAAGGAACCCTTTAATATTTGTTTACTTTCTTCTTTTCCTTCAATTTTTTTGGACTCATTGTACAACTTCTTTTGACAGATCAAAATCAATTCAGAAACTCATCAAAAAGCTTAAGAAGACACCTTATGCCAGTATGATGACAAAAATTTTATCCTCCAGGTATTATCAAATGATGACTCACAACTTTGCGAGGCATGTTATCATAAAATGCCTAAACGTTTTCGATAGAAAGTCGAATGAGGTAATTATATTTCAACATATTCTTGATTACATGTTACTTTTTTGTGTGTGTGTGTGGTTTTTTTTCTTTTTTTAATCAAAAGAGATGGGGAAGTGTTAGTTTTCGTATTTTTCCAATAACGACAGTGATGTGTTCAGTGAAGAAAAAATATTGGCACTTTTAGTTGTGAGGATTGTACAGTACTAGAAATTGTTAATTTTGCTTGTATACTGATAACACTGCACTTTGATACGGTCGAATCTTTCACATGTTATTAGAAATTATCAACTAATTTATACACTAAATGATGTGCTCGTCTTTTATCATGACACGCTTGATCTCAGATATTATATGACCATACAATAAACTATTTCGAAGCCCTGGCCAGACATGAAGTGGGATGCAGATCTTTGAATGAATGCATCAATAGCATTGGCGGTGACCAGAGAGATACGCTCCTGAATCATATCGCTGATTTGTCAGATTTCCTATCAAATGATCCTTATGGGTACTGATGATTTAAATTCTGTGTCANTACGCTCCTGAATCATATCGCTGATTTGTCAGATTTCCTATCAAATGATCCTTATGGGTACTGATGATTTAAATTCTGTGTCAGGACATTTTGAGCATGCTTGGTGGGGGTGATGGAATAGATAACACTAGACACTAGTATTAACAAAGAATGAGAAATCGAGAACTCATTCACTATACTGTCAGTCCAGTTTTGTCCGATACTAACTACCAAACACGCACTTTATGTTTTGATTCTACTTTCATGGAACTTATGCTTTACTTGTGAACTTATCATTTTAAAAATTGTCTTTCTTAGGAACCATGTTGTGCAGCATGTCCTCATTCTTAGAAATAATCTTATAACGAAGAAAATATTGTACCGTCTTCAAGATCAGTTTATACAGCTATCAACTACAAAAGGAGGTAGTCATGTTGTGGAGAAATGCATTGAATCTTCTACATTTGGATGCAGTTGGGTGGTTAAAGAAATTTTACATTGTCCGATAACTCTTGTACGACTCGGTCAACATAAGTTTGGAAACTATGTGATTCAAAAAGCCCTATTGAAAACAAAGGTAATTCAATTACTAGTTTCACTTGCATTGAATCTCCAGCACCTGTACTTTCTTATGCCTTAACCTTATATAATCTTTTGTTTGCTTGCAGATAGAGGGCCAGATGCACCTATACGAACCTCTTGTTACGATTCTTGAAGAAGGTGAAAAGGACCTTAAACGCACCGTAAGTGGAAACTATGTACTTCATCTGCTTAAAGAGCTTCAGAAAGATACGTAAAACCCGCGAAAAAGACATTTTAGAAGGAATGAAGAAGTTGAAAAAATATCATGTCATTTTTAGTATGATGGCTAATCTTCTCAATGAATTCTTGTTGCTATGAAGAAGTTGAAGTTTAGTATATGTAATTTGGTACGTGGAAGTTGTTCTTGGTGTGATTAAGAAATTTTTTGGTTCAATGTTAGTACTCTTGAATGGCAATGCTGTTTCTTGTTTGGTTTCCCCATTATGTTATGGAGAGCTGTGAACATGAAGTAAATTTTCTCATTTGTTTTTAATATTCAACAGCAAGCTTTCATAGCTCAGTTGGTTAGAGCACCCGTTTAGTAAGCGGGAGGTCTTGAGTTCGACTCTCAATGAAAGCATATTATGATTTTGCCTTCTAGGAATTGTTTCCTTCTAAAACATAAAGCACCAATACTGTATTTTCTGTCATGTATATAATATTCAATTTAAATTATTTTTTTTTTTTTTAAGAATATTACTTTTAAATTTACAAATAGGGAATATCATAATTCATTAAAATAATAATAATAATTTCAGAAAAACTAATAGAAAATCAATGTAAATTCGGTTCTCGACCCAGTTGAAATTCTTGAAAATAAAAATAAAAAAAAGAAATAATAACAACCAAAAATATAATTTTCCGTCCAAATGGTCATGTATATTACTTTTAAATTTACAAATAGGGAATATCATAATTCATTAAGAAAATTAATTTCAGAAAACTAATAGTAAATCAATGTAAATTCAGTTCTCGACCCAGTCAGATTCTTAAAAAATAAAAGAAATAATAACAACCGAAAATATAATTTTCCGTCCAAATTGCAATGTAAATAGAGATGGTTCAACTTGAAATGGGATTGATCTTTCTCGACGTGTGGTTGGGATTTTTTATTTTGATTTTTTTTTTCTTTGAATAAGGACATTTGGTCATGTGAAATGACTATAGTAACCTTTATTAAAATATTATATTAGCAATCTAATTTGACGAGGTAAACTAAAGCGTCCAAACAAAATAAAAATTATTGTCAATTTTGTCTAATTCAATGAAAATATATGAATTCATCAAAAGTTCGAAAATATAGGCCCCGTTTGTTTCCCATTAATGTAAGAATGAGAATAAAAATATAGTCGTTACGAATCTCACACAAAATATAGAAATTCAAATATGGTGACTTCATGTGATGAATAACGGTCATATTTTTTATTTTAATGACCAAATAATAAGAAACAAACAGGGCTAATTCTCTTCTATTTAAAATCATTTCGAGCCAAAAGGTTGAATTCATTGTAAATTTGAGCAAATTCCTATGTTGACTCGGATTTGATAAAATATGGGGTCAACGGGAAGACGATGACAAAACAAGAAAATTCAATTCTGTTAATTGTCTTTTTCAATAATGTATTAATAATCTTATCAAAACTTGATAATTTGTCTATAACAGTTACGAAAATAAAAATAAAAATAAAAATATTGTAAGTCAACGACAAAAATATGGAACAAACTTTGGTCAATTCTATCAACAATTCTGATCAATGAGCTAATCACTGTCAATTATTTGTAATTACATCGTCAATTTTTTATCGCGGATAATTAACGACGGAGTGCATCGATAATGACCAATGATATCAATACCTTTCAAAATTATTGATAAATATTGATTTTCATCAGAATTATCAAAAGTAAATAGTAGGCAATCATGGTTGGATTATTTAAATGATAGTCATTTATTCCATTTAATTTTTTTATTACTAATTCGAAAATGCATACTAAAATATTTTGCACAAGTCTCCTGGATTACTTAAATCATCTCTCGAAAATATTTGCTCAATTAGGTAAATATAATATAATTATTAGCAGTGGCCGATATGTATCTCGCCTGATCCAAAAATCTAGAGAAGTAACAATCCACCCAACCGAGTAGTGTTATGCAAACAAATTGTGAGTCGAGGATTCGACTCTCTTTTATAAATATCAAAAGATTCTTTAAAAAGTTTAATTGTACTTATTTTATCCAAATGATTTATATTCAACTCGGAAAATATTAAGCCTTTCTTTGATGTAAATAAAAATCACATTTTTAATAAATTTTGATAGAGTTGATGGAATGTGCAGTTGAAAGATTGTGAACATCGGTTAAAATTAATTTTTAAATTTAACTTAAATTTTATCATAAATATGAATACTTATTAAAATTAATATGCCACTTCCCCCAAGAAAAAGGCTATGTATATATTAGTTCACCCAGACATGATAAAACACAAGCATTTGCTTTCATCTTTTCATAGGTTGGTGCCAACAAATTTCTAGTATTTTGAACCAAATTACTGA